GAAGCTGGGAGGGGACACAGCCAGGACAGCCGACCCCAACTGACCAAAGGGGTATCCCACACCACATGACATTGGGCTCAGCAATGAAAGCTAGGGGAAGAAGAAGGAAGGGTGGGACATTTGGAACGATGGCATTTGTCTTCCCAAGTCACCCCTGTATCTGATGCAGCCCTGCCTTCCTGGAGATGGCTGAACACCTGCCTGCTGATTGGAAGTAGGGAATGAGTTCCTTGCTTTGCTTTGCTTGCGTACATGGCTTTTGCTTTACTTGGTAAACTGTCTTTGCCTCAACGGAGGTGGTTTTTTTACCCCTCAGATTCTCTCCCCCATCCTGCTGGGAGGGAGGGAGGGAGTGGCTGTGTGGGGCTGAGCTCCCTATTGGGGTTAAACCACAACATAGTTTTCCATAGTAAAGGGAATTTAAAAGCTGCATTACTGTGTTTGAAATGGGTGAACACTGATTTAAATAGAAGTGGGCGGCAGATGGGAGCACGATCATTGTTTTAGATCTGAAATGGCATTTCTGAATGTAATTCCCACTGAAGTCAGCACAAGCACATTTCCCCTTCTGTACTAAGGAGCAGGGTTGCTAAATCCAAGTATAACCCGAGAAAGACCCAACTGATCATTGTATTAGAAATTATGCCATCCAGAAAAATCTTCTTAAACCAAATATGAGGATGTAAGGGCCTGTTCAAGAACCAAAATGGAAAGCTACAGTATAATAACCAATTTACATTTCATTATAACCTATTTAATTTACCTATCTACTGACTCCATGCTTACATGCCTTCTGATTAATTTTCATATTGCTGATAGGTCACCTAATTTCACACTGGCCTCTCCTGCTAGTATAGGCTGCTTTTTGAAGTATAGCACTCTTAACCCTATGCTTCAAATCATAGAATCATAGAATCATAGAATCACTTTGGTTGGAAAAGACCTTTGAGATCATCGAGTCCAACCTGTAACCTTACCCTGCCATCCCTCCACTAAACCATGTCCCTAGGCACCTCATCTATCCTTCTTTTAAAT